CGTCTCAAATGAAATCTAAGACTTCGTTTGGGACGGTTGCTTTACTGCTGCTTAAAACAGTTTTTTAGTACATAAATTTAAATTTATACACTAAAAAGCTATTTTAAGAAGCAGTAAAAAAGACATCCCAAACGAAGCCTAAATAATATTTACTCCGGCGTGATGATTTGAGCCAAACTTGCCACCACAGTTAAAACAGATAACCCTTTCTCTTTTTATCTGAATCCTGTTGGAGTGAGCTTGCGAACAGGAAGCTGTGGGGATTTGTATGTTGTTTGTAGTAATGATATTGATGGGTTAGTTTGTGTAGGTAGCGGTAAATGTTATTTGTGTAAGTTTTTGCCGAGAACAAGAGAACCCTTGTTTCTTAAATCTTGTAACTTCGACTCCTTATCCTTGCAAGCTCCATGGCGTCTAATAATTAAGCTGCTTGGTTTAGCCATCAATAATTCTGATGTAGTGGATCGTCGAAAAACTCGACTTGCAAGAAGGATTTCGTTATCCCAATCCAGGGAAGAAGAAGAAGGCAAGCTCTAAGGCTTCAAGGGGTATATTATATCATTCAATGCCTTTTTCCTCTACAATACTTCCAATTTATAAAGCTAAAAGAGTATTCTAGAAGCTCATTCTAACAAACTAGGTAAGGTATCCTAAGGGATGCTAAAAGCTTAAAATGCACCGCATCATTCTCTCTTCTTAATTCCTGTTTATGACCAAAAATGAAAAAAACTAGAATGATTGTTGTAAGCTGACATATATACACGTTTAATTACCAGGATAATGCACACACGAATCTATGTTTCTGACATGACCCCCTCTTCTCAAGTGGGTGTTGTGGTTGAGTCTTCAATGGTGAATGTTTTTGGCGAATAATTGGGATATGACTCGTAAGACACGACTATGGAGGTGACAGCTTAGGAATAAGAGGCGAGTCTCCACAAATGAGATAGGTGTAGGCGGGTGACCTTGATCATAGATAGGTGTTGCAAGTGAGCAGGTTCGGTTGAGGCAAGTGATCCTTAAGGTATAGATTGTTCTAAATGAGTCATTTGTAGGTGCTCGTCGAGGGTATGTGGTTGCCCCTTCAATTTGATCTCTTGGGGCAAATCTCTATATCATGATTTTCGCAGGGGGGTGGTCATTTGTCCACAAGCTAGCGTAAACCACTACTCTACGAGGTCACGCTTGACTCGTGCATGCACCATGCACTTTGACCGCGTAATCTCTCTGATGGAGCTCCTAGTATTTGTGACTATTATGTTAGATGCCAACGAGTTACCAAGATAGGCATGCATGAGTATACACTGTTATTATGATATAAATTGAATAATTAACAATGAATGAGAATATTACTAGAAAGATGTATTTTTCTTGTCCCCACATAGAGAGAGAGAGAGATAGGAACAATATTTGGCTGGGGAGATGATTTTTTTTTCTTGTTGATGCCTATTGAAGCCCACCATTATTATTATTGCATCGTGCAATCACAGAAGAAGAAAACTTTACATAGTAGCTAGCTTGACCCGTAGCATGTGAACTCAGATTCCCACTTGCTCTCTCTCTCTCTCTCTCTCACAGACAAACAAACAACCTGCATTATGTGACAATTTACTATAACTCTACAGTAAAATGCAAAAAACACACTTATGATGACTTTCAGACATTTCTTTTTTGGCTGGCAATCTTCCACTGATAGCCCCTCGGCTTCCTGGTGAGGGACATCCACTAATACTAGCTCTTTTTTTTAATAATGAAGAAACTCATTTGCTCCAAGCCTTGTAATTTTTTACCTTTTTTATTGTTTGTATTAATGTCTTATTTATTGTTGTTGTTTTTTTTTAAGTAAAAACAATTATGATTCATTATCCCAATGCAGAAATATTTCCAACATAGGCATATAAGTATACAAAACAATTATATATATCATCAAAAAATTATCTTGATCGGGCACGAATCTCAAGGCAAAATTAAATTTGAAACTTCCAAAATTAAATTTGGAACAATTTGAACTCCGATTTCAGAAAACTTACAGTCGAACTGAACGTCTAAAAAATACGAACCCAACGACACCAAGTTTGACTCAATCGAGCTCAAATGGGCCGGGTCCAAATCAAATACTTGAAGCACATTTGAAAAATTCAAACGATAAATTGGACGACCAAACGTTTTCCAGAAGTGACATGCTTATAGTTGAATCAAGCGGCTCGACGAGACGAATCCAACAAGCTCAAGATCGTCAAATTTTGATATCATTAAGACATGCAAATGTCCAATAAAGGATCCATGATTGAGGGAATCAACATAGGTTGTCCGATCCATTCAAACCACTCTCAACTTATCTTTGATCTTCCTCCTATTTATTGAATATGCCACTCTCATAAATCTATAAATATAGCTCTCATTTCTCATGAGAGCGGACAAAAGCAAGAAAGAAAAATATGATATCTCTCTTGCCACCAAGCTCCTCCTCGACCACCACCTAGACTTCCGCTAGACCACCACTAACAATTGTCAGACTTTTGTCAGACTACCAAGTGACGCATAGACTTCCACCAGACCACCGACTGATGCCGAACTTCCACCGAACCAATGACCAATGCTGGACCTCTGCCCTGACCATTGACTGACACCGGACTTCCGCCTGACCATGAACTAGCACCAGACCCTCATCTGATCTCTATTTGTCTTTATATTTCAACCTGACGGTTGATGGTTATAATCTGATCGTCCCCAAGGACGGTTCGTTCACATGTAATCTACTCAAACACTAATGTAATCATTTCAACTGAGCGTGGCCCCGTGTAGTTGTGGCCCCGTGATTTTTCCCTTCTACAGGATTTTAAACTTAAAAAATCTTGTGTTATTTGTTTGTGTGCTGGATATCCGTACAACGTTAAGACATAAAATTCTAAATCTATTGTCGCATATATTCTAGCCCGCTATTAATCAAATAAAAAAAAAAAAGGAGAAGGGATTGACCTACGAAGAGCTTAGGTGAGAGAGGGCAATTGTCCATCCTTTTTTTTATAATTTTCTTAATAGAATAAGCATCATATTTTAAATTATTCAGTCCACCCTCAATTAATGTACATCTACATAAAATTCAAAAAAAAAAAAAAATCTTTTCTGCTACACCTTTAAGATTTCATTTGGTACGGTTTTCTTATTGCTTCTTAAATCAGCTTTTTATATAAAATTTTTAAATTTGGAAAAAAAATGCTTCAAAAAAGAATAAAAAAACCCTCCCAAATGAACCTTAATTAATTAAGAATACATGTCATAATCTTATTTTGTGCCACCTTTAAAAACTGAATAGACTAGAAGATGTAACTTTATCTTAATCAAAACAGTAGAATGTTATTGAAAAATCATATGGATTCCACTCTTATTACAGTCAGGCCATTTGTCTTATTCATGAAATTAAAATCTCTATGAAGACAAACGAAGCTCATGCACTGCAATTTCCCTTAATAGCGACTACAAAATGCCCAATACAGCTCCATCGACTCCGTCTCATCACCACCTCTCCCTTTCTAATGAAATAAAAACAAATATGCAGCTGATGTGTCCTCGACTTTGACTTCTTTTGCTCTCATAATTTTTCCCCTTTCTTTTCTTCAAAATTTTTTAACTACGAATTATTCTGTGCGGAGTCTGGACGGGAAGTTCCCCTTTGGAATGTGAGTATACAATGTACACAATGTACACTCACAGTCCGGACGAGAACTTCCCGTCCGGACTCTGCATGGAACAATTTCTCCACTTCAATAAACAAAAAATAAAATAAATAAATATTAAGCAATAATTTAATAGAAAAGGACAAAGAAACAAAAATCTTCTCTTAAAGCTACCTAAGCCAGCATTTTCCTTAACAAAGCCAAGCTGTCGTGAGACTTATATTAAGAATTAAATTAATGTTTTCCCATACAGATAGTGCACTAATTCCTCGGCTTGATTATTAATAGAGGAGCATAGCCTACGCCTTCTTTTCTTTTGTGTTCATTATTAGGTTTTCTTTCTTGGTATTACAATACTGCTCCTGCATGATATATAGATTCCAAACTTCTATAAAGACTCCCTAATCACAATTCATTTATATTTATACATTCATCAAGAATAATTATATATAAAACCTTCATTTAACTTGGGAAAAAAATATTCAAAATAATAATAATAATAATTTCTTATGAACTCAAAAAGCATAAACCACGGGTCATGTTGTGGAAAAATTATTCTGTGCGGATCTAGACATCGTCCGAAGATCAATCAAAGCGCGCGACGTCACTTTTTTTGCTCGGTGCCGTGTCCGGGTACCACTTGGTATAAAATAACGTGACGTATTTTAGTTGGTCTCCAGACCGTCCAGTGTTCGCACAGAATAATTTCTTTGTGACACAACAGTTGAGGACATTCGTGCCTCTTGCCATTGCCGCGTTCGAATCACTCAACCTGCCCAATAAAAAAAAAAACATAAATTCACTAACTATCATATTGGTTCAGGTTGGCGACAAAGATCTTAACACTCTTTATCTCTATTTGATCATCCAACGGTTTAGACTTTGTTTGGCATAGATTTTTCTACCGCTTTTTTGTTATTTTCAAGAGAATAATTTTGTGTTAGAAAACTGTTATAGAAAGCAGCAAAAAAAACTATTTCAAACCAAACAGCCTACCGAGCTCGAACCATCAGTGATTTATTTGAGCTTGAACTTAGACAAATTATTACTCCCTGAATCTGTCTCATCAACCCAATGCTCATCTTTAGACCCAACATACAAAAGATATAATAATTCTAACTAAAAATACATATAAAGCCATAAAATTAATCATGATAAGCTAATTAAGCTCTAAGTAGTTGCACTTTACACTACATAGACGAGCATGCATCATTAAAAACATAACGGGTGCAACAAGCAATTAATCTTTCTATATATATATGAACAAAAATTATGGAGATCTTCTCATTTCATGTCATTATCTACGTGTTCATGAGATAATACTGATAAAATTTCAATAAACAAATGCATTAAAATTCTTTGTTCATACAGATATAGATCAAAGTAAGGCAATCATGCACCTGCTCATAGGAAGTAATGAAGCATGCATGATCCTTTGAATTAAATGAACAGGCTTGTACCAAATCATCAGTGCAGATTCAACATTCTTCTCTCTCGGTACTTCGCCGGAGCTGCGTCGACAATGGCATGTCTCCGGCTATGTTATCACCAAGAAGACTACTAAGAGACCTGGCTTTAACCACTCCAATCTTCTTCTTCGACTTTGTCGTTGACACTATGTCCGGAGAGCTATTTTCAAGCTTGGCTTCTTTCACTGAGCTCATACTCCTCAGCCTACCTTTGCCTAAATGGTGCTCGCAGAGAGAGTAGCCAACAAGCGTTGGTTGGCTACAACGCCAGCCTCTACCGTTAACTCGGCTGCACCTCGAACCCTCCATTAGAATAGCTGGTTTTTTCCTCTTATTCGCCGGCGACGGCGGTGCACCTGAGCTGCTTTGGCCAGAAATAATACAGAATGGTTGGCAAAAAGGGGTTTTTTGGGTTAAAAAGTGTGATTTTGACTAACCTTTTGGTGGTATTAACCGACGGATTCTGAGAATGAGATTCCTTCAGATCTCTTTTTGAATCGAGAAATGAGAAGAGGGAGTTTTGATCGGACTTATAATAAGAATAAAAAACCAAAAGGGTGAAGTGAATAAAGGGTGTATTTTTATGAGGAGAAAATGTAGAGTATTCATTTATTTACCTGATCCGGATTGAAGAAAGGAAAAGCTTTGCTGGCTTCCAGTTGCAGATCTTCAACTGAGTGCAATAACCGGCTTTCTGAAGCTTTCTTATTTAAATCTTGCTGATCAGCTGGTTCGGAACACCATGAATGGTTGCTTTTGAGCTCATGAGTTTCAGTTAACAGATCCGGGCTTTGCATGGGAGGAGGAGGAGAGAGGAGGAAGCCTGGCCTTCTACGGATTCTCATGGAGATGAGAAGAGGAGCAATGGATGGAGGAGATACTAAGAGTGCAAAATCTCTTACCTTCTCTAGGCCCAAGATAATAAAGAGAGAGAGAGAGAGGGGCTGGGGAAAGAGCTGGCTTTTTCTTATTATTTTTTTAATTTCTCATAATGAATAACTAAAATTTTAAAAAATATTTAAATGAAAAACTATATTAAAATATTCTTATAATATTAATTATGTATATATTACAATTATTTTTTTTTGGGAATTATTACAATTATTTTAAAAAAATGTTAATTAAATGGATTATGTTTTTTATTCTATTTTGGTTCTTATTTGTTTAATGATAGTGGCTATAATGAGAGGAAACAGTTTTGATTGGTGGGTGGAAATTGGGGTTTAAAGTTGGGTGGAAATATGATTGGGTATGGAATAATAAAGAGGTGATGGTGCAGTTAGCTCATCAGGCACGCAGAGGAGGTGGAGGAGCGGGTGAAATTGTGGAAATGGAGCTGGGCACGTGCGGTCGGGAACCGGGACACCGAGTGTTTCCGGTGATTTGTTGTACGGTTCGGTATAGAAACCGGATAGAGCGGTGGCGAAGCAATTTAGATAACGGGCAAGTAGGCAACTGGGAAAGGACATAATTGATTTGTTATACGTTTTTTTGGGCTGACGACGGAATAAATGAATAATCGCTATCAATCTTTTGTTAGTAATTACAAGTGAGCTTTGTGCCCCGTGACATTATTACGTGCGATCATCGGATGTGATTCGGAGATGAATTAAAATACGTCATGTTATTTTTTTTATTTGTGTATCTGTGTTATGTATCAGATGATGTGACATATCATGATTCATCTCCGGACCATCCGACGACTGTACAGAATAATCTCTCTTGAGACCCATACTAAAAATTGAGAGAAGAAGCCCTTCATGCATTTCACTTGGCTCTATTGTTGATAGGGGATTTTAGCTCTAAATTAAAAAGTTTAGGATCAAAACTTAGATATATAATGTTCGTGTGAATTTATCTTAATTGACTCAAAAGTCTCCTAAAAAAACAGAAGAAGCCCTAATGCCAAGTAAGGGTGTCTGATAACGATCCTATCCATCAATATGATTCAGATCCTTTCTAAAAAAAAACAAATTTAGGTTGATCCATTTGATAATTTGGTCGAGTTCAGTTTTAGAATTTCGACTTGTTTATTAAGTGGGTTGGATTCAGATTGAGCGGCGAACCTGATTTTAACTAAAAAAATGCTTGTTTAATTTCTTTCTCAAACTTTTTTGCTTGTTGATATAATATTCTTATTTTTTTTTATCAATTTATCTAAAATATGTAGTTGACAATCTATTAAAAAATTAACTTTTTTAATCAAAATAAGTTATCGGGTTTGTTCTGATCATTTGGGTTGTAATTGGGTTAGATTCGGGTCAATCATTTTGACCAATTTATTAAACTACTTCTTAAAACAGTAAGAAAACTGTCTCAAACGAAGTCTTTCTTTTGAACTAGGCCTGTCCAATCTATGATTGGTTTAGGTATATTTGTAATGTAATATATTCTCCAAAAAATATTAATATAAAAATGTCGTCAATTATTTTAATCTAATCAAATCAACTAAAATGTATTGATTGAGGTGTGAAGTATGAGTATTGAGTTCAAAAAATAATTTTGAATTAAATAAAATGTTATGATATTTTAATCATAACTTAATTCGAGCTAATTCAAAATTAATTGTATTTATATAATGAATTTATAATATAAGTACATATGTTTTAACATGCAATGGTCTTTTTTAATATTTTTAAGATAGTATGGATTCATCTCATACATAATATTTTTTGCTTAATTTCAAGAAACTTTATAACAAGGGATGGAGGTTATGGTTTTATTTGAGACATTTTTCTTATTGTTTTGTAAATCAGCTTTGAAGTATAAAAATTTTTTGGACTAAAATTTTTTGTACTAAAAAGCTGCTTTAAAAATTAATAAGAAAATCATCCCCAACGAAGCCTATATCACATCATTCAAATAATAAATTGATTTATCGTCCAGCCCTCAATCAATTATAACTAACCAATGTAGACGCCTATTCATTGAACAATTATTACGTCCTCCGACCGGATGCATGGAAAAACTCGGTACACCTCGGTATAGGCGGGATTTTGCCTACAACCGGATGTTCCTCTGCATCCTTACACCGGACCAAATAAAAGTTCCTATTCATTAGGGTCTGTTCTTTAGGGCATTTTAAGGGTTAGCTAGACTCATAAAGCTTATTCCAACTTAATCTTCTCTTGAGACATATTTCTTATTGTTTTTTAAAGTAACTTTTTAGTATAAAATTTATGTACAAAAAAGCTGTTTTAGAAAACATAAAGAAAATTGTTTCAAATAAAGGCTTCGTTTGAGACGGCTTTCTTATTGTTTTTTAAAGCAATTTTATATAATAAAAATTTTATTTTTTAGTAAAAAACTGTTTTAAAAAGCAATAAAAAAGTTGTCACAAACCTAACCAAAATCTTAGCCGACTTGGCATCCATGCATTCTAACATCATCCTTGGATGTGCTTGCCTTATCACTCTTCAACCAAAACAATCATCCTTAGTTGATTTAGGATTAAAAAAAAAAAAAAAAAAAAAAAAAATTTAGTGGATTTTATTTCCTTTGAATTTTTAAGATAATATAATTATTTTAACTATAAATTTACGCTATTTTAGATCATCTTACATCCATTTTGGCCTCAACGTTACATTACTTAGAATAATTATTTACAAATCAAAATTAATTGAATTCAAATTTAAAAATAAAATAAATCTCATGAAGCAATAGTTTAGTTTTTAAATATATTTGAATTTGAATTCAAAACTTTTAAATTTAAATTATATTATCTATTATTCTATTATATTTAAAGTTTCATTTGGGACAATTTTTTATTATTTTTTAATAAAAATTTTCTTTTTCAAAAAATTATTATACCAAAAAATTGCTTTAAATAATAGTAAGAAAGTCATCTTAAAGAAAGCCTTAATTTGAATATGATAATATATTTGATGGGATAATTAACTTCACATATATTTAAATAAAAATTCAAAATTATTTTACTATAATATATTACATACTTTGTCTAAAATGGTATAAAAATAAATTAAAATGCAAATATTTCTAGTTATGGAAATTCAGCAAAAGATTAATTTCATTTTAAATTCAAAATTAATTTAAGAAATAAAAATAATAAAAAAAATTAAATATACCAGTTTCTTTATGAACATATCATAAAAAAGAATTTCTGATTTTTTCTCTTCTGCATTGGCTGTATATTTAGGAAAAAAATGGTGATTGGTCGTAATTTTTGGATAAAAGACCGTTGACTGGCAGTCGGAGTGGATCTCGGCGTTAATTTTGTGGACTTGTGGGGAAGTTGCTTAGTGTGTGACAGTGGCTTGATTGTGAAGGGTGTGCTGTGGGCCACAAAGAAGCCGAAGAAGGGTATCTCCCCCACATTCAGGTGCTATAATTTAGGCGAGTATTATTATTATTTTTACAATAATTATTTTTTAATTTGATTTATTAAAATACCAAATTAATAATAAGATTTTTTAAAATACTATTACTTATTATCAATTATCATTCAATTTCCACGCGTAATATTATTTTTTTTACAAAATTATTGTCAAAACTATTATGAATAACCTTAAGGAAATATTAATAGATTGTGTCCACTCGGTCTAAATTGTTTTTATTTAGAATGTGGATATTATGAATAATATTGTTTTTACTTATTGATATGTCACTAGAAAATTCACTTGATAAAGTATGAAATATCGATGCAGATTGGATTAGAGGCTTTCGGAATTAAATTTTGGGTCATATGAACTCTAATTTAAGCAAAGCGATAATCCAACTAAGTATATTAATGAGACAAACTTAACGAAATAAAAAAAAATAGTCTGATACAAATCAAAATGAGCTCATATCAAATATTTTAAGGATAATAGTCAAATACAAAATGTTTGATAGACTGTTTTGAGATTCTAATTAGATTACTAAGTGGCACTTTAAAAATACATAAATAGAATGAGGGGATCACTAGCTCGAGGTTCAAGAGAGCTCGGATGCTTGAAGAATCCTGCAACTCCACTAAACAACCAACCAATATTGCCATCCGACCATGGCCATCAAACCTTTGCCCTTTGATTATCATTATTCAATTATAATCTTTTGATCACCATCGCCCAACTATAACCCCCTGACTACCATCAACCAACTACAATCTTATAATCATGGTATTCAAGTATGGCCACTCGACCGCCCTCATCCAACTATAATCCTGCAATAACCATTACTTGGTTATGATCCTCCGTCCAATAATTTCCTCCAAATACAGTCCTCCAACCACTATTGCCCACTCGATCAAAAAAATATTATTACCTTACTATGATCTCTAAACCATCATCACCCAACAAAAATGTTTAAGCGAATATATTGCTTGATTAAGATCCCTCGATCTCCATCTCTCAATTATGATCCCCTATCCTACTATGCTCAACAATGGCCCTCAACCACCATAAGTTGATTATGATCCTCATATCATTATCGCTCAACCACTATCTCGATTATAGCATCACAATCGTCATCATCAGATTATAAACCTCTAACTACAATCGTATGACCGTCTTTTGACCACTGTTGGCCAATTATGATCGTCTGACAAATATTCCTAACTACAATTCTCAACGACCATCTTCCGACTAAAATCCTATAACCATCAATCTCTACTGCAAATTTCATTATTTTCTTACACTAACATTAATTTCATTAAAAAAAATAAATCATGTTTGGCTATCTTGAGCCAACTTGAACATATTTAGCAACTCGTCAAAATTTGCTCTCTCTTTGTTCACATGCCTAAGAGTTTGTGAGACCTTCATTATGAGGTCATACAATGAGAGGATTTTATTTCTTAAAACTTCATTATGTTGATAGACAAAAATGAATTGAAAATATTAAATCCTATTTATTTACTTCAAAGGTATTTGCGTAATATTTAAATAAAAAATAAATATTTTAAAAAAATTCTTTAATACCGTTTTCCTCCTAACCAAGAAGCCCAAACTAAACAGGCTCCACGTCCTCTGCCTCTGGAATCTGGATAAGCTGCTTCCCCTTCGCCTCTTCTTTTCGTCTTGAGCATCGAGAAAGCGGCCTCTCCTCAATTCCTCAATTCCATTTCTCGATTCGAAATTGGTATTCTTGATTTCCTACAAAGCTTGAATCCTCCTAGGTCTTTTTATCCCGTCAATCGGCCTCGAATCTCTGCCATCTTTCACTAAACCCTATCAAAACTATTAGATCATTACAATGGCAATTCCGGCTTCAAACCCTTGTGTCCTCTACCGCGATTTCGGCCACCGTGAGCGCCAGAGCGCCGCTTCCTCTGCTGCTGGCTGCGGGGGGTGGTCTCCGGTGACATCGGGCTCGTTGTTGACCTGGAGAGGAGTGTGCCGGAGGAGGAGAGGAGATTTGAGGGCGGGAGCCTTCTGGATAGCGAAGCCGTCGTCGGTGGAAATGGAGGAGATCGGCGGAATGGAAGAGATGGATGAGGTCCTTCGCCGCTCGAAGGAGCTCTCACAGCCGGTTATTATCGACTGGTGAGTTCGTATAGCATTAGCCGAGGTATGCTTATGTCCTGGTAACGTGAATCACGTAATCTAGAATGTAATAGATAAGCAAGTAATTGTGTTTTCTTTGATTTATGCATGCTCCTGCAACGTTATTGATTGATTGCTTCTTCAAAAATCATGAAGCAATATCAACATTCACTAACAACTGTTGTTAGGCTGCTGAACAATCTACCTGAGGAAACAGAAAGAAACTCTGAAAGAGGCTTAATGATTAATCATATTAAAACAAATGGATCAAGCATGTCAAAGAAAAAAAGAACATATATATACACGCACACACACATTAGTTCAGCTATAAAAAGATATGCAGCCTTAGTAAAATTTAAGACATGTTCAGAATACATGTAAAATGAACAGTTATATGAAAAATATGAATTAGGTGCTTGATTTAGTAGAAAATATATGAAGATATTGGTAAACAATAAAAGTGATGTAGTTCAAAAGAATGGAGTATATTGAAAAAAATGGCACAGGACTTATTACAGTATAGAGTGCGATCTACCGTGAAATGGTCAAATCACACATACTTTCAAATTCATGGTTCAGAAACCTTTAATTTAGACAACTTTTTTTTTCTTTTTGGATGAAAATCGAAGATACAAAGAATTTGAGACAGGACAATTTGATAACAATCAATTAAAAATAATGCATAGAAATTTAGAAGCCTAAAATCATATGTTCGATTTGAAATCACTCAACAATAAAAAAAATCAGACTGTTTCAGGTTTTATGTATGTCAATAATTAGAAATTAGAAAATATAAATAAGAAAATTGTAAGAGATCACCAAAGAATATAATCTAGCCTCACGTTGGCACATAAAGTTAACTTTTACCAAAATTTGGAATCGCCATTGCGATTACACTAAGAGAAGACCACATGGAATTGTATCCAACCATAAATTTATTCAATCAAAATAAGGATTAGAGTAGAATAAAAAATGAGGATTGATTTTTAGTTAATAAACATTCAACTATGATGTTATCGGGCTCAATGGTGGGAGGCGGTGACTGGTGTCATTGGATGGCAGTGACAACGGAGTTAGCTTGTGGTGTATTTTAAAATTTAATAAAAAGTGGGTAAGTTTAGAATACATAAAAAATGAACTATAAAGTAAAAAACAAGTTTGCCGAAATCTTACTCTGGATTCCCTTTTCATTAAACTAAACATCAAAATTTTTAAATTAGTTGCATTTGGAATAGTTTGCACTTCTTTTTTTAGCAAATCAAACAACAACAACAACATAAGCATTTGTCCCACTACGTGATGTCAGCTACATTAATCATTTTTCATCTTTGTGTCATGTTAAAAGTCAAATTCTCATTTAAATATAATAAAGAAAGATCATTTTTAATATTTTTTCTAACCAAGTCTTTTTAGATCTACCTCTACCTTTCTTAACATAAATCAAATTTAATATCTCAACTTTCCTAACTAGGTCATCAGAAGGCCTCCGTTTAATGTGACCAAACCATCTAAGGATACTCTCTCTAATCTTATATTCCACTAGAGCTACTCCAACTTTTATATGTAAATGCTCATTTCGTATCCTATCTCTAAGGGTAAAGCCTCTCATCCACCTAAGCATCCTCATCTCTGCAACACTTAACTTAGTATTATGCTTCTCTTTTAATGGCCAACATTTGGCACCATAAAACATTGCAGGTCTCACCACCATCTGATAGAATTTTTTCTTAAGTTTGAGGGGAACTTTTCTATCGCACAACAAGCCCGATGCATTCCTCCACTTCAACCATCCCACTTGAATTCTGCTGATAATATCCCCATCTATTTCACCATCACTCTGAACAATAGATCCAAGATATCTAAAACGTGTATTCTTATTAATGACTTGATCGCCCAAAGTCACAATCCCCTTACTAGGTCAATTGCTACTAAAATTACACTTCATATATTCAGTTTTAGATATACACAAGCGAAAACCTTTAGCTCTAAGGTTGACCTCCATAATTCAAGTTTACCTTCAACTCTCTCTAGCCTTATCAACAAGAAGAATATCATCAGCAAAAAGCATACATCAAGGTACATCCTCTTGCAAATGTCTAGTGAGAACATCCATGACTAAAGCAAAAAGATATGGACTAAAGACTGGTCCTTGATGTAATCCAACTGAAATAGGAAAATACTTGGTCAAACCACCTTGTGTTTGAACACAAGTAATAGCTCCTGCATGCTTATCTTTAATGATTTGAATATAACCGTTATTAACTCCTTTCTTTTCAAGAATTCTCCATAGCACATATCTTGAAACTATATCATATGTTTTTTTCTAAATCAATAAATATCATATGTAGATCCTCCTTATTTTCTCTATATTTTTCCATCAAACCTCTCAATAAATGCATGGTTTCTATAGTAGACCTACACGGCATGAATTCAAATTGATTTTGAGAAACATTAGTATAACACTATAACCTACGCTCCATAACTCGCTCCCATAGTTTTAAAGTATGACACATTAACTTAATTCCTCTATAATTCGCACAGTCCTGTGCACACCTTTATTCTTAAAAATAGGAATTAACACACTCATTCATCACTGATCTGACATCTTTTTAGTCTTCAAAACAGTATTAAAAAGTTTAGTAAGCCAATAAATTCCTTCATCTCCTAAGCATTTCCACAACTCTATTGGAATATCATCAGGTCCAACAGCTTTGACACACTTCATTTTCTTTAAAGCCTATCTAACTTCGGTTTTACTAATACTTCGATAAAAATAAAAAACTTTATTTTCATTTAGGTTTAGGCCTTTAGGGTGCTAAATTCATTAAAGTCAATCGTGTTTTCACATTATTTATTAAAAAGTTTAGCAAAATATGTCATCCACCTTTGTTGAATATCATATTCCAAGAAAATTATTTTTTGATCTTCATCCTTAATACATTTCACTTGAACTAAATCCTTGCTACTCCTAACTCTTTGTTTGACTAACTTTTGTATATATCTTTTTCCCTCCTTAGTATCTTATCTATTACATAAATCATTAAAAGTTAAACTCTTTGTATTACAAATAGCTTTCTTAAATTCCTTATGAGCCTCTTTATAACAAATCAAACAATTATTAATAATTTTATAAATCAAGGAGGTCAAAGAGATCATAATAGGCGGGCTACAGAGGTTGGAAGGATCTTAGTCTTTATATCTCTTAAATGATTCGAGGACTGGATTTGGCGGGCAATAGAGGTCGGAAGGACCGTAGTCAGGCGATTGATGTCAAAAGATCGTAGTTGGGTCACGGTGGTTGGAGGAACCATAGTTAGGCAATGGAGGTCTGTTGGATTGTAGTAGTCAGGTGACAGAGGTCAGGGTGACCGTTTTTGAGCGACGGAGGTCAGAGGGACCATTTTTGGGCGGTGACTCGACTGTGGCGATAGTATGGAGGTCCCACGACAAAGGTCAGGCAGAGGTCCAACAGCGTTGCCCGAGCTGAGGTCCAACAGTTATGACAATTAGGTAGATGTCTGGTTTTTGTTCGCTGGTAAATGTTTGACTATGATTGCTGGGGTGTGAGGGTTAGCTGGCGGTGGTGCCTTGGTGGAGCTTCGGGATTCTTCAAGCCTAATAGCTCACTTGAATCTTTAACCCTAGGTTTATAACTCCTCAAAAAGTTCCCATCATATAGAGAGTAGATCATGTAGAGAGTGGATGTTTATTTATAGATTTTAAGAGTGACATGCTCAATAAATATGGAGAAGATCCTAAGCAATTTTGGAGTGCTTTATCAGACGACCCATGAGCATTTGTTCAGATTTTATGTACCTTATCGGTGATCTTGGACTCATTGGATTCGTCTTGTCATGCCACTCGATTCCAATATAAGCATGTTATATTTGGATATCATTTGGTCATCCAATTAATATTATGAATCTTCCAAAATGCTTCAAGCCATTGATTTAAGCCTATTTTAGCTTGGATTAGACCAATGTTGGCCTCGTTGGGTCTGTGTCATCGAGACGTTTAGTTTGACTATAATTTTGCTATAAGTGGAGTTCATATGATCTTAATTTTAATTTTGGAAGTTTTCCATTCAAATATGCCCCCAGATTCTTGTGTTATTAAGACGATTTTTGATGATGTATCACTTTATAAATAGTATTCCAATCTCAACTTATGTAAACTTAAGTTATATACATCCGAAGCTTGGTGTGCTGACAGGAACCGATCAGCGTTCTCCTAAATTGGTCGGAAGTTTTATTGGATAGGAATATCCTAGCTAAAGTTTGATCAATTTTAAACTCTTTACATTTGTTTTGAAGGAGTAAATTTTGTGAATAATTAGTCAACTGTTACATTAAATCATCTCAAACCAAATTAAAATGTTTGAAAACTCAATCAAATTTTAGTCAGAATATTCTTATTCGTTTTCCCTAAATTGTACCAAAATTTTAATTTTATTAGGTAAGCAGACGAAATTGTAACTTCCATATCAAATAGGAAAATATTTGCATCTTACACATACTAACCTCTTCATATTTTTTTTCTGTATTTCCAACTGTGTTTAGGATTGCTTCCTGGTGTCGAAAATGCATTTATTTGAAGCCCAAACTGGAGAAACTTGCAGCTGAGTTCCACCCCAGGTTGGCTACTTTTCCAAATAAGTTTTTTTTTTTTTTCATTTTTCTCTACGTGGAATATGTTTTCAATAAATCAATAAATCGTTTGGGAATTAACTACTTTTAGCTAACAAAGCAATGGAATTAGTTCATTTAAAAGAATATATATCTGAATTTAGGAAGCACTTTTCCTTCACAATTTCCAGAATTAAGTTCTACTTTGTGGATGTAAACAAAGTGCCACAAGCTTTGGTAAAGCGTGGAAACGTTTCTGTAAGTCAACCTGTTTTATTCATTCATTAAATTTGATTATTAGTCATATAGCAGAAAACTATTTTATTAACAATTATAATATATATATTTTTTTAATTTCATTGAAAATTAACGTCCTCCTGGGTATTTTCTTCTTGGATCTTTGTCTCAGAAAATGCCTACAATTCAGGTACTCAATATTCTTCTTTTATTTTTACCACAATAGTCTGCTTGAAGAGGAATCACTGCTCACGGTTTTTAATTGTAGCTATGGAAGGATGGTGAATGGAAGGCCGAGATAATCGGAGGGCACAAAGCATGGCTTGTTATTGAAGAAGTTCGGGAAATGATTCAAAAAAATATCTAACAAGTAAGCAAATCAAATATATAATTTTCTCTGTTCTTATGTGTAAATATGTAATTTATATTTAAATTTTAAGTTTTTTATCATGAAATTTGTAAACATAAATCTATGGAAATATGTAATGTTTTTTAGCTCACCATGCAGTATGTTATGTGAAAGCTTTGGCTAAAAAAACATCTATAGATAAAAAAGAGTGGGTGACAACTGACCTTAGATGATCAAAATAATGTAGAACCTAAGCATCAAGTCGAGCCTAACACAAATTTTTTGGCTCAATTACATGAAACGCGAAGCCTATCAATAGCTGAACTCACTAAAGCAAAGCATTAGGGGTGCCAATATTTCACACAACCCATAAACTCGACCTAAAAATCCCGGCTTAAGATTAAACCGTGTGAGAAAATAATCACGTTCGAGATTCCAACCTATTTGTAAAATTGGATAATGAGAGTGATACCGTGCCTTTGTAATCTACCCACTATGCCATCGACTTTGCACAAGAATGAGCAATTAGAGTGATCATGTTCGCCACTATACCGTGCCATCAACATCGCGTCTATTACAGCCGCTGTGTCGACGGGATTCCCAATTTGTCGTCGTCGACATTGTTCGGGCCTTCATCCATCAACGTCTTGTTTGCTAGACAAGTTGTCGCCCATCGATTCAAGTCAACCATTTAAGAGAGTCGGGTCGAGTCAACCCATAAACCCCACAAACTTGTTGCATGTTGATATTTTTGATCCGTTGGTAAAATCAATCTAACTCAAGTTGAACAAGTTGATCAGAGTCAATTTCGGACTTAACTCAAACAACTCGTGACCGGATATTAACACACCTACAAAGCACAAACATTCACAACATTTTTTAAGATTACATTATAAATATCCCAAATATCAATATTGACAATATAGGTCTTACGCTCCAATTGCATAATACTACGTTCGCCCTTCAGCTCTTTCAGTTGGAACTATTTTTCATTATTTTGGCAACCAAAACATAAACAAATTTAAAATTCACTTACAAAAACTAATACAATACAATTGTAAAAATTAATCAAATTAGAAAATAAATCACGCACTGAATTGTCCGGGATCTGAATGCAGAAACCTCAAAGAAATCAAAAGCATCTGCCAGAATCTAACCCAATTTTCTTCTCGGCAACGTACAGCGCTGACGACGCTAAAGATAAGAAAGCGCATCAGAGACTCTAATTTATTGCCTTCACAATCATAATCTTTCTATGAAGAAGATTGAAATTTTAAAAAGAAAAAAAAAATTATAACTTTCGTTGTAGTATAAGCTCGGAGACTCGTCAAATAAATCAAATTGGAGAAAAAAAGGCCTCATAAGTTAAAGAAATAACATCAGAGGGAAGCGGTGCTTACCAGATCTCAGATGGTACGGTCAAATATAAAATCATAGGCCCCTACTGAAACATTTTAATGAGATTTCAAAAACTTCGGAATCCTAATCCCTAAACAAATAAAATACTATAAAAATATATAATTTAACGTAATATTAGGAGTGCCAATACACGACCCGAAAACTCAACCCGAACCCGATCCGAAAAATTTGGTTTCGTGTTGACCCGAACCAGGTCAGGTTCGAGTTGACCCGAAAACTTGGTAATGACCTGCTGCCCACGCGAAACTACCGTCCCACTGCGAACCGCCGAACCCACCGTGTCCCGCTGCGAAGTGTGAACCCGTGCCACTGCCCACAATGGATAACGGGTCGTGTCGAGTTGACCTGAACCCAAAGCGGGTTCAGATCTAGAAAATCAACTCGTTTGCAAAAACGGGTCAGGTTCGGATTGACCTGATTGGTGCCAGGTCAATTTCGGGAGAACCAAAACCCGACCGGTGACACAAAATTGACACCCCTATGTAATATAATAGATATGAATCATGATAAATAATATTAATAATAGAAGGGGAGCTTTAAGGGAAAAGTAACAATTTTGTATTAAAAAAAATTCAATAATTATGTTGAACAAATTCAAGAAAAAAAAATATAAATAATCGATTATCTGGGATCCGAATGCAGAAACCAAACAGAAATGAAGAGACTCTGCCAGAATCTCACCCAGTTTTCTTCTCGGCAACGTACAGCGCTGATGACGTTATTGATACAAAACGCATCAGAGACTCTAATTTATTGCCTTCAATTTCATAATCTCTTATAACAGAAATTTCAATTTTCAAGACAAAAAAACATATCTTAAATCCGAAGTAATAGCTCAGAAAATGGTTGAATTATCTCAACATCGATTCTTTTCAAAGCTCCTTTCAGAGTTTGATGGTATCTTTCTATAATCATCACAGCTCTTCCAAATTCTTTTTAGCGTTAAAAACAAAAACAAACCAAAAACTCAAATCTTGTAATTGTAAATATAGTCAGAAAGAAAACCAGCACTCATATTTTAACCTTAATTCGGAACTATGTGAATTGTTATTCCCTGAAAGTTCTAACAATGTTTTAAGGTTAACGATCTATTAGTGAGCCAAAAATAAAAGAGCTATTAAGAACATCTTCAACCGAACGTCAAACGAGCGAATGACATCATTCAGTCGCTCCAGCAAAACGCCAAATCTTCTGCCATTTACTTGAGGGTGAGCCGCACTGTTCACCTATGCTATTTTGCTCTCTCATTCGAAAAAAACACGTGAAAGAGAGAAGGATCGTTACCTTCACAAAAGCACATAAAATGACATTCGATTGGAGCAGCACCACGGCATTTTGGAGTTTTGCTGTATTTTGCCGTGAAAAATGAAATTCTCCCTTGGAGTTGCCCTAAAAGGTTTAACCAATTTAGAATTATTAATCCTAATCAATATAAGGTTTTTTTTTTTGTTGTTCCTCTTTTTTTTAAGATGCTTTTAGAAATCGTTAAGGGAATGAAATTTTCTAACAGAAAAATACATATAAAAAATCTTCTCGAAATAATAAAAAATGAAGTTCCTAAAAAAACATTTCTATAAAAACATCCCATCCAAAGAGAGACCAAAAAATAATTTCTCATTTAAAAAAAAAAAACTCAAACAAACTAGGTTACCAAATTTTTTTTTTAATTTTTTATTTTTTTTATTTTACCAAATGTAAGTTCTGCCATGATAGAAGTTAGCAAATAGCCAAAAGAACACGCTAAATCACTGCAATATGCTTTCATCCAAAATCACAAGAGATCAAAAATGAAGAAAACACAACAAACTCAATATCTCAAATCTGAAAAAGAAAACTAAAAAAGGGTATAAATCACCATTAAAGCTTATCTAAAAGTTATAAACATATATGAAGCCGATAACATGGAAATCCTTTGGACTTTCATGAAAGATCTTTGCTCCAAAACCATCAGCGAGGATGAATCTCACAAGCCTGATCAAATTGGAACCCTAAACGAAAAAATAAAACCTAAAAAAATTTACAAGATTGGTAGCAGTAGATGTCAGCGAATCAGGGCTGAGATTTTAGATCTAGGTTTCGGAACCTGTAGAAGGTGAGAGGAGATACGCTCGCTGGAACAGAGTACTTGGGAGATCAGAAGCTTCAGCCCATTGGTGGCGAAAGGGTAAAAAGGAGCGGACACGATCTAATAGAGAGGACAGCGAACGAAGGACTGTCGTTGTGAATAAAAGTGAGCTGTAAAGATATATTTATAGCCTATGAGCAAACCCTAATAAATCCAAGCCGTTTAATCACTCATTATCAATGGTTGAAAACGAATCAAATCGTAGCCCTTTATCTAAAAATCCGACGGCCAAAAATAAAAAGGATTTACAGGTAATTAAATTCTTATTTATCAAATATAATTTTGTGCTTATCTGATCTATTAATAAAATAGGCTTAACTTTTATATTTATATTCCATGAATAATTTAGATATAAATTATTTGTGCTAAATAAGAGGATTTTATGAACAATGAGTTCAATGAGCTCCAAATCCTTCATTCTAACCTTTTAAAAAAATCAATTTAATACAAAAAAAGTAAGTCCTAGAATGATTGTGATGGTAGAGGGATAGCTTGTCTTCTTGTTGTTCCATAAAATCCTTCACAATATACAAATAAATAGATTATAGCACACAAGATAAACAATATTTTAATCTACAAAACTCCTTTAAAGGAATAACACTTGGTCTAACTCAATTAAAGCAATTTTATCATGTAGATTAAAAGTTGTAATCCTTTGTAAATCTGTCAAAGAAAGTGAGATTACAAAACAAAGTGACCAGCGTTGCAATTAATCGGTGGCAAGTGACGACAAATAGGGGACAGTGACATCGTTAGGCAGTGTGAGATGATAATCGATGGAGCTTGATGATGTTCAATGATAGTCAACATTTAGTATTTGTGGCGGTCTTTAGTGTTATTCAGTGGTAATCAATCGAATATATGATGGGTGTCAATGACTGGTATTAGTCATTGGCATCAATTGCGATAAATTGTTAGTGAACTTTGAAATACTATGAGCCCCTGAATTATCTCATATATAATTATTTTCAAAGTATAAGAGAATGACCAATTTTATAAACTTCTACGTGAAACATCCTAATTATTTTTGTCATAATGCTACATTGGAGGTTTTTAGAAGGGTCTTTCTTAGTTCTTAAGAAACTCAAAATTAAATAATCATAATCTCATTGATTCTTCTTCTGTTTAATATACTCATATTAATGGGTGGCAAGTGACGACAAATAGGGGACAGTGACATCTTTAGGCGGTATTTGGTGACAATTGATGGAGCTTGGCATTGTTCAATGTTAGTCAATATAGAGTATTAGTGGCGGTCTTTAATGTTATTCAATGGTGATCAATGATGAATATGATGGATGCCAATAGCTGGTATTAGTCATGGGCATCAATTCTGTCAATTGTAAGTGAGCTTTGAAATATTATGATCCCCTGAATTATCTCATATAGAATCCTCCTCAAAGTATAGGAGCATGACCTATTTTATAAACTTCTAGATGAAACATCCTAATTATTTTTGTCATAATGCTACATTGAAGGTTTTAGAAGGGTCTTTCTTAGTTCTTAATAAACTCAAAATTAAATAATCATTATCTTATCGATTCTTCTTGCCAATATACTCATCTTGACTATAAACACTAAAAATTTAAATGTCATTAGGTCCGTCAAATGTTTTGAGAAGCTTTTAATTATAATTTTGAATGATTGAATTATAGTTATTTGGACTAAAAAAAATGCTCTTGTTATCATTAAATTCTTATATAATTGAAACATTAGTTTCGATCAACAACAACATGCATGCACACACGCACGTGTCGAATTAAGCTCATCATCTCATAGTGAAACAATCTTATGATAGTTTTTTTTTCTGTCAAATTTCAATAATTTTATTTTCCTTTGATACTTACATGCCTCTCTCTCTCCCCCCTCTCTCCCCCTCTCTCTCTCTTCACCTCTATTTAATCAACATATTTCAACTCCAAATATGCATGTTTGTTTTAATGCCCTAAGGCCATCTCTAACCAAATGCAAAACATATATTTTCCATCCGCCATGAGCTCATTTTGAACGTGAAATTCATCGGCATTTTTACAAGGTGAACAGTGCGATGCCAATACTTGTGTGGTACTATTTATAAACACTTTATTTTCATTTTATTTTTCTTTGTAAAATCTGAAAACTAGGTAAATATTTATTTCAAAATATAAATTCTTCATCATTAAGATGAAATTCAACTCCATATACATTATTTTTTAATTGTAGGTTTTTCATTTTAAATAATTTAAAATACCATAGCATAATTAAAATACTACATTCATATATAAATTAAGATAAAATCCACATTAGTTGTGATTAAAAATAAATATTAAAAAATATGAGAAAGAATATATACAAAATATTCTTTTTTGATGTTATGAAATAAAATTTAGTTAGAAACGAGCTATTGCATTTTAAAGTATTATTATATTTCAGAGTGTAAAATAAGTTTTTTGATTGGAGATGCCCTCAACCCCATTCATACAAACGAAACCTTTCAATCCTTCGTCGAAAGCTTAATGGATGCATAGGCGCATGGAAATCATGCTATGTTAATGAGGATGATATAGCAAAAATGGCACTCTAGAAAAGAATCCTACAGGTTTAGGTTTCATTTGCGACAGCTTTCTTACTGCTTCTTAAAACTATTTTTTAGTGTAAAAATTAAAATTTTATACAAGAAAGCTGTTTTAAGAAGCAGTAAGAAAGCTGTCCCAGACAAAACCTTAATGTGTAAGCAAATGCAGCGAACACCTAGTACCCAGGAAGGAGCCTTCCATTGTACATCTTGTCGAGTAGTTTTCGTGCCTCGGGTCGCCGGAGAAGTCCCTTGTTATTCGGCAAACCAGTTCCCAGACAAACTGGGCAAACCAGTTTTCCACGACCTGTAGCATGAAAACAGTAGTCTCAGAAGATTCAAGTAAGCAGAAGCAGGCACTACACTGCCTTTCAAAGTGGAATAATGATTTCCCTGAAGATATTATGAAACTTAGGTTTCATTTGGGACGGCTTTCTTATTGCTTTTTAACGCGGCTTTCTAATTAAAAAAATTAAAATTTTGTACTAAAATTCCGCTTTAAGAAGCACATAAAAAGCCGTCCCAAACGAAGCCTTACTCTTCTAACTTTCAAAGCAGAAGTAGGAAATGATAGCAGAAGCAGTTCAAAATTATGTATGATGCAATATTGTAGCAGCTTAAAAAAAAATACTGAGGATTCTTTTGGGACGGCTTTTTTGCTGCTTCTTAAAGCAGCATTTGAGTACAAAATTTTTAACTTTTGTACTAAAAAATTATTTTAAGAAACAGTAAAAAAGCTGTTCCAAACGAAACCTGAATGATTGCTACTTGAAGTTTCATCAAGTATGATGGAATATTGAAGGCATACCGTAACAGTTAGGACACTCGGTGAACTCATAAACATCTTTTGCCCGTTTTCTATTGAGAGCTTTCCATTTTCCAGTGCCTCCACACATGTCACCTAATTTCACACAAGTGAGCTTCTGTGATCAGATCAAATGTTAGGTCAAAAATACGCCCTTCATGTGAAATAAATTTTAGGACACAAATTCCAACTGCAAAGTGCAAGACTTCATTGAGTAAAAAGCTGTTTTAAGAAGCAGTAAGAAAGCCGTCCTAAACAAAGCCTAAGAAAATCATGGCCTTAATGTGTAATATAGACTTAAAAAGGGCCAATAGTCATAATAATGAAGATAGGCAGAATAATAGACTGCATTTGCTATTCTCCTCTTGTAGTAATGAAGACTCATCAGAATACTTTATTAAAATTCCATTTATCTAATCAATCAGGCTACATAACCACTATGAAGGGATAAATAAAAGCTAGCTATATACGGTTGATGTAGCCTAAAGTGACCTTAGAATCCTTAGAGAGATTAAAAATGAAGAAGAAGCTCTGTAACAAACAGAAGGATGACGAATGAAATGGTTGGATGGATTTAAAGTCTCCTTCAAACATTGCTATTTTTATATTTTTTTCTACCTTAAAAAATGTTTTAAGGTAATTATATTATCAGATCAATATTATACCATGTGGTTTTTGTTTATGGTAAGAATATATAATATTTGTTTTTACAATATAACCTCATTATTAATGATATTCTCCTTTATTGTTTTTTTTATTGCTCTCTTCTCTTACTTTTATATAGGCATGCATGTACTAGCACCATACTGAAAGAAGTAAAGATATAATTTTTTATGATTTCTAACATAGCATCAAAACAACGATCTTAAGTCTCTGTCTCGACACCTAAGATAATCTCAAGTAAACCTCATCGCTTTTGGTTCAAACCGCTCATCTTGATCTCATTTTGAGAGCAACGCCATATCTTGATGATTCTAAGCCGCGAAGATCCCATCTTCCATGAGGACCTCTATGCATTCATCTCGTGTCTTAAAGATCCTATGAGGATCCCATGAGGATATTGTTAGGAAATACTTGCAGAAATCGAAAGAACATGACTGAAATTTGGAATTTCAACAAGATAAAAATATAAATTGAGAGAAATTTGGTGGCAAAACACAAGGAAAACTTGATAATTGATGAAACATTGAAGAAAACAAATAAGATACAATGAATCTTCAATTCGAGAGGAAGATCCGGCTCTCCCAATCTCTAGCCGATAGCTAGAGCCCAAACAAACCTAAGAGAAAACCAAATTTATCAAAACATAACATAACCCTAATCCTCTCCCATCTATTTAGAGAATACAAATATAATGATAATTACTAAAAAGTCCCTCCCAATTTTAATTCCCTCCTAAACCGCCCCATCCTCATTAATTTTGCATTCAAATAATGAGCCCCACAAGGCGGGCCGGCCTTGGTTTTTGGCCACAGGACAGGTCCTTCTTGGACTGGTCTAACAAATATAAATTTATTTTTAAATATATTTACATGTATCTAACTCATGCCAAACTTAGTCCTGAGAAATAATGATACGAGAAAAAAAAAATCATGCCAAACCATACTCTAGTTCAAAAATCAAGCTTAACTTGCTTGCTTAATGAATGGCCACACAGAAATTTATCAACCCAAACAAGTTGTTCACAAACATTGAGCCTTTTTTACTCCCCTAGTGCCTCACAAGGAGCATAGGTCCGCATCCTGCTTTCATAACCCAACAACACCAATAAATAGAGAACCTAAGACCACAAGAAAGGTTCACATCAGGAGATTTTGAAGGACATATCTTCCATCCAGATTCTTTATGCGAGAATGAGAATGAGAAAGAAGATTGAGAGAAGACTTAGAAAAATGCACTTCTACTAAACAAATTTCTAATTTTACCCAAATAGACTTGTTTTACACTGTCGAACATAATCCATCTACTTTTCTAAAGAATATTATATTCAAATTCATAAGAGACTCCTTTCTCCTTTAATTATTCTATCAACTTCCGCTCAGTCAATCCAAGTAGTTCTAAAGTTGTGATCCCTTTTTAACTAGTTCTGAATGTTAACAGTGTTTTTCTTTTTGACATCCTAACACCTAAGCTTGCAACTAGTTCAGTCCAAAGCCTAACTTGGCATCTGCCAAGAAAACCTTTATCGACTAATGCTTCATCTTTCATGCTTATAAAATCAATGAACTTCAATACAATGCTTCTTGGCACTTGTCAACTTTCTTACAAGCTAGATAACTAACAGATTTTGGAACTTGGTTATTGGACAACTACACAGTAGTGCATTAAAAGCATTAACAACAACCACGTGGGCAAAAAGTACTGAAAATATATTCGACTTCAGTGCGCATAATCCTATAAATATTTATTTCATTTAGTAATTCATTCGGATGGTTAAAGTGGAGGAATGCATCGGGTTTGTTGTGTGATAGAAAAGTCTCCCTCAAACTTAAGTAAAAATTCTATAAGATGGTGCTAAGACCTGCAATGCTCTATGGTGCATAATGTTGGCCATTAAAAGAGAAGCATAATACTAAGTTAAGTGTTGCAGAGATGAGGATGCTTAGGTGGATGAGTGATTTTACCCTTAGAGATAGGATATGAAATAAGCATATACGCTAAAAGGTTGGAGTAGCTCTATTGGAAGATAATATTAGAGAGAGTCGCTTTAGATGGATTGATCACATAAAACAACGGACTTCCGATGACCCGGTTAAGAAAGTAAAGGTGTTAGATTTGACTTATATTAAGAAAGGTAGAGGTAGACCTAAAAAAGACTTGGTTATAAAATATTAGAAATGACATTTCTTTATTAGATTTAGATGAGAATTTGATCCTTAAAAGGACACACTGGAGAAAAAGGATTCATGTAGCCAACCCCACATAGTGGGACAAAAGGCTTGATGTTATTGTTATTGTTGTAGTAATTCATTTCAAACTAAAAATCCAATAAATAAAGAATTGATAGAAAATAAAACATAATATTTCTGGTAGATTCTCATGTAAATAGTGATTCTGACATGCAACATTCAAGTAGTAGTTGTCAGTTGTCACTGCTCATTTAACATTTATAAGTTAATCAAATATAAACGACTTGATATGCAAATAAAACAAACAAAACAAAGGGAAAAGGAAAAAAGATCCTTACATATTATAGCACCAGAGCCCCCACAATTTCGACAAACAGGTTTTTCTTTCAAGGAATCATCAATCAGGTCTGATGCAACTCCATTAGATGTACCAATACAACTTTTTGAAAGATTTATTAGAACCAGAGACGCACATAAACATGCAATAGATTTACGTCTTGAAGGCTTCGCATCAGATCTCTGCACAGGTAGTGTAAGGCATTGAGTAAATGCCCAAAAAGACAAGCAATAAATTAAGGCTAAAAATTCATATCAAATAGAACAAAAAAATTGTGAATTTCAACATATAAGAAGCTATTTCCTTATCATTGAACTACTGCTTATAGAAGCAAAATAAGCTACCAAGAGACAATAAAATCACCTAGTGACCAATTATGATTGCATGCAAGCCTAAGAAAGAATCATATATATAATTCCAAGAGATTTTCAACAGCAACATACAACAGCATCCAATGTACTTGAGATAAGTACAACACTAAAATTGACCATTTGAAGGTCCTAAGAAAGTATAGCAAGCACAATCTTGTAGAAAGTTCACCTTTCCTTGGTATGAAGATGTAGCTTCATCTTCCTCCTTTGCTTCATCTTTCAAGTTACATTTGATCTGAAATTTGACTAATTTTCTGTTGATTGGTGCTGATGCAGAAAAACATAAAGCAATTAAAACAATGGATAGGATTAACCTGAATGAATATGACAGGATATAAATTATAAATAGGTAAGCGTTTAAGGCAAGTATCTAAGAGCACAAGACCCAACTACACCCAAATCTTGTTTACTTATGAAATTAACACCAAATTACATCTATTTACAACAACATTGCTCAAATCTAGAAGAGTGAAACAAAACAACGGGGAAAAGCTCAGATATAACCTAGACCTCCTTTCATAAGCAAGAGACGAGGCGATGCTCAAGGTTGTTGCATATCACCAAAGAATTCTCAATAATTTAATCATGGCACACACAAATACACGAGTTTGATAACTCATTTTAGAAACCAAATGTTAGTTTTTTTAATAAGGAAGATTTCGGTGCCATGTAAATAAATCTCCCTACAAGTAAATAGAGCTTGCAATTACAAATCTTGTTTTGTTACTTGTTGAAACACTTGATAAGAATTCATTAGCATTTGCAGAACAATGAAATGGCAATATCTCACAAGAAATTAGAAGAATAATCTCAAAATGGTATAAGAATTGAACACATCAATCAATAGAAAGAGTAGGAACCTTCATAAAGTTTTTTAAATAATAGAAAGAAACTTTAGCTAAGAAGGAAGAATAGAACCCTGGTTGATAAAATAGAAAAGTATATAAATCATTCCTGACAAAAGCTTAATAATCTATAGAGTGCCTAAATTAACCAACACAGATTTTTTCTGTGGAATTTAGTGGAAGGGCTGTTGTGAGACGGGAAAAGGGGGGAGAAATAGTTTGCGGAACTTCTTTTCATCGACAGATGAAAGTGAATGTACACCAGAAATTTCTAAAATTTACCTAGTTCCTGGGTAAAGAGAGAGAGAAAAAAAAAAACTTACTTGCACCGATTCTATTGCTGCTTCCTCCACTAATACTGCGGGGAGAGACCGCCAAAGGGGGCGGCCATGAGAGTAATAGCTGGCTGCTGCTAACCATTCCTCTCTCTCTCTCTCTCTCGCTGGGCTCCCGCCCTTCACTCTCTCTCCCTCGCTCGCTCTCTCGGTGCTAGCTCCGAAAAAGCAAAAGAACACAAGCGGAGAGGAGAGGGAAAATGGTGAAGCCGGGAGCGGAGTGTGCTACTTAGCGCCAATCAAGAGATAAGAGAACCATCCTAACATCTCACGATGAGGAAAAATTACTTGCTCGCCTTTAAAAAAAATGGTTTTTTTATCACCTTTAAAAAATGGTTTTTTTATTTCTTTTCCCATAAATAGATTGAAATTTGGAACTTTTAGATTTTTCACAAGAAATTCTGAGCCTTTCTCCTATATTTTTCTTGGTTAAATTATATAATTATATACATTAAAGAAAAGAGAGGAGGAAATCTTTCTCTAATTTTCTAGTGTGAGAAACTCTGCTAGGGTTTTTTTCGTTCCCGCATCGCATTTTTTCTCCGCCTCCGCCTCCCGCCACTCACGGAGGGATCCTTTCCTATGGATCCCTCCCTTCACCCATCCTCCTTCCCTCCTCTGCCAAATGCTTCTTCTTCCACTTTCGCTGGCTCTCCTTCCCCTTTACCTTGGGACCGGGTTTTTTCCAACCCGCCTTCTGTAGGTGATTTTTCTATCTCCTCCCTGCCGACGCCTGAAGAGATTATCGACTTTCCGACGGTCGATATTGCTGATGCAGTCGAAGAATGGAATCTTGCGCTGGTTGGGTACTCCTTGGGTAAACGACCTTTCTATGAATCTCTACTTAACGCTGTTAAGAAGCTTTGGGATCTCAAAGGTAATATCAAGCTAACTTCCCTCAGCAACGGTTTTTTTCTTTTCAAGTTTTCATGTCGTGAAGATTTTGAGATGGTTTGGAACAAAGGAGCTTGGTTCATTTTCGGGAAACCCTTCATTTTTCGCAAATGGACTTCTCATTTCAGCCCAAAACGTGATGAATTTACAAGTATTCCGATATGGTTTAAAATCCATGATTTGCCGCTCTGCTGCTGGACCCCTATCGGGATTCTAAGATTGCGACTAAAATTGGTAACCCCGTGGCTGTTGACTCCCTCACCGCCTCAAAATCCAGACTGACTTATGCAAGAGTTTGTGTGCTTGTTGACTCTTCCGCAACTTACCCAGCTACGGTCCCGATTTCGGTTGAAGGAAAAATTTTCAATCTGGTGATTCAATATGAATGGCGGCCCTCTATCTGTGATTTTTGTAAGTCTTTCAACCACTCTTCTGAATCCTGTCCATCTAATCCTAATCCTAATCCTAACCCACCTGCCATTCTTCCTCCAAAACCTCCTCGCGGTAGGAGTTCCAGCCGCAGGCCCAGGCCTCCGTCCAGCAATCCTACTGGCATCTTACCTACTCCATCTCCTCGTTCCTCTACTTCCCCTGGAAAATCTCTCATCCTATCTCATCCTCTACCAGAAAGTCACCATACCAATATCTCTCCTCCTACAATTCCTGTAGTGGCAGAAACTTCTACTAAGGAGTCCTCTTCTCTTCTTCCCCAATCCACTGAACAAATGTTGGATCTGTCCAAGTCTCAGACTCCCAACATTGCTCCTGCAAACATTCCAAACCTCAATTCTCCCACGATCCCGACTTCCTCCTCTTCAGAGCCAGCTTCCGACCTGGCTGAAACTTCTTCTCCAAAAATTCCTCCTCCGAAAGCTTCATCTCCTACTTCACCTAATAAATTCAATTTACTGAATCTCATAGCTGACTCTGACGCCATATCCAACAGCAATTTGGAAGCTTGTCTCAATGAGCTCTCTCAGACGGCTTCGGCCAGCTCTTCCTCCCCTCCTACCAATAAACCCTCTCCCCCCACTTCCAAGTCTGTTGACCAGCCTCACAAAAACACTAGAGGGAAGGGCTCCAAGAAAGGCCCTAAAAACAGCAATAAGTCATGATCCTTCCAAATTTAGCGATTTGGAATGTCAGGGGGTTCAATAGCCCTGACAAAGTTTTTTGTTGTAAGAAGTTGACAACAGACCACGATTTAGACATGTTTTGTATCCTGGAAAACAGAATCATGGCTTCTAACTTGCAAGATCCTTGGTTTTGTAAGACTCACTATGTTTTTGAGAATGAGAAGAGCATAAATAATTTCCATTTGGCGAATCCAGGTCGGATTTGGATTAAATGGAATGAAAATAAGATCTCTTTTGTGGTATCATCTATCTCCAAGCAAGTTATTACTGGGACTGTTACTTATGGGTCTAACCCTCCCTTTCTCATTAGTGTGATTTATGCTTCCAATAATTTTGAGGAAAGGAACCTTCTTTGGGATGAACTTAGAAAGTGCTGTCCTAATAATGGAATGGCTTGGGCAGTTTGTGGTGATTTTAATACTTGTCGGTTCTCTTCTGAAAAGTCTGGTGGAGTTGATCTAAATGTCTCAAGGCTGGCTACTTTTAACTCTTTCATTTTTGATTGCAACCTAGTGGATCTTCCTTCCTCGGGAAATTTTTTCACTTGGTTTAATCAAAGGGAGGACAACCCCATTCACCTCAAACTGGATCGATTTCTCATTAATGAAGCTTGGCTTGCTTCTTTTCCCAACTCTCATTATTTGGTTGGGAATAGCTTGGTATCAGATCATTCGCCTTTGTTCTTGAAGAATAATATCAAAAGGGTTGGCAAAAAAAGGTTCATGTTCAAAAATTACTGGTGCAAATTCCCGGATTTCTGGGATTTACTGTTAGCTACTTTTGAAACACCTACTGTTGGTAATCCAATACATAGCCTGTATCAAAAGCTTAATACCTTGAAAGAAGGTATTAAGGGAAAGAATTGGGAATCCTCATCTTTTCTCGAGGTTAAATGCAAGGAGCTTTCTACGACTCAACAATATTATCAAAACCTTGTTGATATGGACCCTCTTAACTCTGTGCTCTGCGGTAATCTTAAAAAGGTCAATTTAGATCTTGCGTTCTACAACTCTTTAAGAGCAAAATGGATCATTCAAAGAGCCAAAGTTAAATGGCTAAAACATGGAGAAGAGGACCTCAAATTCTTATTTTCAAAGATTCATGTGAGGACATCTCTTAATAGATGTATTATTAACTCCTCTTCTTGTGATGATACTCAGAACACGCATTTCAATGGGATAATTAATCATTTTCAAAACCTTTACAATTCTCCCAATCCTCCACTCAGCAACACTCTCTCTATTCCTGTTGGTGCTATGGTTTCTGATAATGCAAAGGCTCTTCTCACTTTGCCTGTTAACAATGAGGAAATTCGTTTGGCTATTTTCTCTGGCTGCTCTTCTTCAGCCCCGGGCCCTGATGGTTTCAATGCAGAATTTTATAAAAAAACTTGGCCTATTACTGGGAATTCGGTCTGCCTGGCTGTCAAATCTTTTTTCAAAAAATGTTATCTTCCCAATCGTGCTAAAGCAACTGCAATTGCCCTCATTCCAAAAAAATCTCATGCAGATTCTATTCAAGATTTTAGGCCGATTTCTCTATGTAATGTTTTCCACAAAATTATTGCTAAGATCTTAGCCTCTAGGCTTAAGCCTTATATGTCAGAGCTCATCCATCAAAGCCAGGCTGCGTTTATTGCTAACAGGATTTCCTCAGATAATACTATTTTGGCGGCTGAAATTCTTGGTTTCATCTCTAAGGTGCATAAGGATAAATTCTTTTGTGCTAAATTCGATATCAAGAAAGCTTTCGACACAGTGTCGAGGGAGTTTGTTTTTGCTCGGTTGGCTCAGAAGGGTATTCCTCCTCTTTTCATCCACTGGATAAAAGCATGTATTAGCAATATCAACTTTTCCATCTGTATTGATGGCGGTCTTCAAGGTTTTTTTGGCTCTTCCTCAGGGCTTCGACAAGGTTGTCCCCTTAGTCCGTTTCTTTTCTGCTTTGTCATGGATGCCCTTTCTTGCCTTATTGATGATAATTCTAATTTGAATAATTTTGAAGGGTTCCAATTTGATGGGTTTCACTTGTCACACCTCTCCTATATATGCTGATGATTTGCTAGTCTTTGGCAAAGCAAATCCTCACAATTGTCACAACCTTATGGCTATTCTTCACCTATTCTCTTCTATTTCTGGTCTTACCCTTAACCTCCACAAAAGCACCCTGCTTTTTTCCCCCTCTGCCACCATCTCTTCCTCCATTGCCCAAGCCCTTCACATCCACTCTTGCTCTACCTCAATCACCTACTTGGGCATCCCCATTTCCTTGGGGAGATCCAAGCTCACCGATTTCTCCCCTCTCATGGACAAGATTACTAACATGCTTTCTGGTTGGAAAGCCAAGTTTCTCTCTTTTGCAGGTAGGCTTCAATGCTACTCTCTGGGATCACTGGTGTCCTAATGGTCATTTTCTGGATTCCAATCCAGATTTTCAACATCTTACTGGTTGTCAAGATTCTATCTCCCTAGCTAATTGGATGAATGGTGATTCCTGGGCTCTCCCTAATTCCCTTAGCCGGCACACGTTGGAATTCTTTTATGCCATTCCTATTTCCAACTGTAAGTCTAAACATATAACATGGGATAACAACGAAAATGCTTCTTTCAAGGATTTTTACAGAGAATACTTTGCTTTGGAAAGTGATGTGGATTGGGCTAACCTGGTTTGGCATAAAAAACATTCACTTAGACACTCTGTGTACTCTTGGATGGCTCTCTCTAATGGCCTTAAGACCTCTGCTGCCTTGACTGCGAGAAATATTGCCATTGCGGACATTTTCTGTCCTCTATGTCACATTCATCCTGAAAATACGGCGCATCTCCTTTTTGAATGTGATTACTCTTTTCAAGTTATTTGCAGGCTCATTCCCCAGTTTAATTGCTTTCTTTTAAGACCCAATCTTTCTCAAGCGTTTCAATTTATTGCTGGATTGGATATCTCTAGGGAGGTTAAACTGGGTGTTTTGCTTATCCTAAATGTTGCTGTATATTTTATTTGGTTGGAGCGTAACTCGAGGAAACATATGGGGAGGGATGTCTGTGCTATATCTCTATCTAAGAAGGTTTTTAGAGTTGTGTATCTTAAGCTTGAAACGTGGAAATGGGGAAAGCTGATAAAAGAAAAGCTTATGTTATCCTACTTCTAGCCAGTGATTTGGTTTGGATTTTTTCTGGAATGGTTTCTTTGTGCTTCTTTTGGTTTGCTGGTATCAACTGGGCAGGCATATACTCTGTGAACTTCAACTCGTTCCTTGGCTTGCTGATGTGTTCGGTTATATGCTGGAATTTGTTTTGGAGGGCTGCTTGTGATTGCTGGTGGTATTTCGGCTTTAAGAGGCTGTCTTTCTGTGTTTCCGCCAAACTCTTATATGGCCCTACTGTTTTGCTGGAGGGAATTGGTGATATTCGGCAGGCATTCAATTTCAGTTTTGGATGTGCTGGTAGCAATTTTTATTGCTGCTCTATTCCAAATCTGACGCTGCTTCGTTTCAGAGGGATTTTGGATACAACGGCAGGTTTATTTTTGAGCTCAGGACGATGATGAACCCTGCCGCTCCTTTTGGACGGTCTACGGGCAACCAAAGGAGGCTAATTGCTTAATGATTATTTCTCATTTCTGAGTCCTGGCTACAGACTATTTGTCTGTTTTCTGTTTCTTCATTTTTGTTTTATAGTTTTGTTCACTGCTTGCCTTTTTTTTTGTGGCAATGCTTTTTGGTTTCTTTAAAGTGTAATCATTTTGTCTTTTAATAGAATGGGCCAAGCCCTCATTTTACCCAAAAAAAAAAATTATATAATTATTAATTTATTACAAAGCAAATTGTGATTTTGCGAAAACTTCCCTAATATATATTCATTTAAGTTTTTTGAAATTAAGACTTCATTTGAAACAGTTTTTAATTATTATTTTTTCATTATTCTTAATTTTTTTTTACTAAAAAATAAAAATATTTCAAATGAAGACTAAGTACAAAAATTCACCTACTACCTTGAGTGAATTTGCAAGTTACCAAACAGTTTATAAGCTATTTTAAAATGAATTTACATTTGTCATTTATTCATTTTATCTCTTATATTAGGCTTTGCAATTTTTCATGGCTTAAAGTCCTTTTTAAACTTAGATACATATTCTCTAATGTAGGTTCAGGGTTTAAATGCAAGTTCCCTAATTTAGGGGTTGTATCTATTTATGTAAATATATTTTTTGAGTAAATGTTTTCATTATTTGTGATGCACAACTTTTATTTTTTATTTTTTTCATGTTTTGCATATATGATAAAATTTCTTAGAAAAAAACCTATATACATGTGTGAATGATGCTCACAAACTATGTAAAGCTCAATAAAAATGATTAAGGGTTGGTTAGAGACATTTGCAGCTTTTTATAAATTTGTTTTAGAGAAAATAACTTTTTTTAAACCTATTATAAAAAATAGCTTCCTAATATAAAAATATTTTAAAAGCAATGAAAAAGTAGTGGTCACATAAAAACTGTGTTGCAGTCTGAAAAGCAAACAATAAAAAAAAGTTATCACAAATGAAGTCTAAATGAATAAATAGAACAACATTTCACAAAATACTTACATGAATTACAACATATGCTAGTCTAAATCAAAACGCCACACCAAGAAAGGGGGTTTGTTGTGTCATTGGAGATGTTAATGGAAGCCATTTCATGGCAGAGGAAGTCGGGGAACGAGGGAGGGAAGTGCAATAACCCGAAAATATGAATAGTATTAAAAAAAATTACATTAAGTTTTTATTTGAACTAGAGCACTTCGACATTGTGTTTTATAGAACTATGAAGCTATGCTTGAAAACGTAATGGTGCTAAAAATCTCCGATAAAGCATTTTAGTCTCTATTTTATAGTAATTCTGAATTTAACATGTAGTGCTGCGGTGTTTGGGTCTGAGTGCTACGGTGCTAGGGCACTAACAACATTTTCATATATTTTAATATAAATATTTCTTCCATCTCCCCTCTCCCCTCGCTCTCACACTACTTGCCCCTGAAGAAATCAAAGGAGAAGGAGAGAGGAGAAGAGGAGGAGAGAAAGGGGAGCAAAAGGTTTTGGGTCATTTTTGTTTGTCCTTTTCATTACAAAAATTATTCTATTCATTATAAGTTACTATATTCTTACTTTTAGTTTTGATGATTTTGATTTCTACAAATTTAATCTCTTCTAAATATACAAAAAATGTATTATCTCTTAATTTTATAAGCTTTGATTGTGTTATATTTGATATATTATAGATTTGATCATTCTGAATAATTTGATATGATTTTATTACAATTTCACTAAGTAATATGTCTATAGGAATTTCTGGGTAAAATGAGTAAAGAAAAGGCATATTGAAAATGGGTTGAATATAAGTGTTGCCCTATGTATTAATAATATTGGAATATGATTGGATTGAAATGATTGACATAACTAATATGTATTCAATGATGTGTTGAATGGATAATGTCTATTTTGATGAAATGATATACTAAATTACTTATTGATATAATATGTATGATATGTTAATCCATGTGATACTCTTAAGATTTATTGATTCATTGATCGAAGTCATAAGGAGGGAGCTATTCTAATGACCAAGTAAGATGTCTAACAAGATAATCCTCTAAATGAGGGAGCAGCTAGAGGCATGAGATAGGGCCTGTATAACAAGTAGGTCGAGACTACCATATGCTTTAGGCAAATAAGTTCTATTCCAAGACATCAGATGAAGCTATTTCACATTAATCTTCCCATGAAACAAAAATCGGGCACATAGTTTATTGATATTCTTGTAGAATTTTTTTGGTATTATAGAGCCTCTGATCCAGTAAAAAATGAAATTTTAAATGATAAAATGAATGTATTTAAGTGTACATGCAATGGATAGCAACTTAGTTTTCCAACCATGAAATAAATAAGATACCTTTTGAAGAAGAGACTGGAAGTCAGAGATCCGTAGCATGTAAGGAGAAATATGGATCCCTAAGTACACAAATTTAGACTCCCCCATTTTTAATTTCAAGTTCAAGACATTAATAATTTCCTTAGAGTAGACACAACCAATAGAGAAACAAACAAAGCTTTTATATTTGTTAATTCTCATATAATATAGGGTTTCAAAAGTATTTAGCTGATCAGTCAGAGTGCTAACATTATTAGGTATGGCTTTACCAAACACAAGCATATCGTCAACATACAAAAGATGTGAGATTAGGAATTCTTCGACAAGAATCCCTCAAAGGTATAGTTGCTAACCGTGTTATCGAATAAATTAGATAAGGCATCCATTGTGATACAAAAAAGGTAAGAAGATAAATGACAACCTTGTCTTAATCTAGAAGATGAGTTAAAATAACCGTATAAAGCACCATTGAAGTAAACCTCAAAATGAACCTCATCAATACAAGCGTTTATCCAATACATAAATAAAGAGGGAAAAACCTTTATCTACCAGCCTTTGAATAAGAAAGCTCCTAAAAACTGGATTAAAAGCTTTAAAGATATCCTATTTTGCACAAAATAGCTTAGCCTTCCTTTGGAGCTTGAATTGGGATAGAATTTTAGAAGCAAGAATGATATTGTCTGAAGCAATTCTGTTATGTAAGAAATCAGCTTGGCTACTATGTATAATATATATATGGCATAGCAAATTTTAACCTGTAAGCAAGAATCTTAGCAATAATTTTGTAAAATGTATTTCATAGGGAGATAGGCCTAAATTCAAAGATATGAGTTGCCTAGGGTCCTTTTGGGATCAGGGCAATTGCAATTGATTTTGACCATCTTGGGCAAGTAATCAAATGTAAAGTTGTCAAGAACATGTGAAGAAGAGTTGGAGCTGGAGAATATGATGCTTTTAATCTCATCTTCAATGACAGGGGCAATGAGGGAAGAGGACAGGCGAGCTTGGGACATAAGAGCCCACTTGAACAGAATGTGAGATGGTAATAGTGGTGTGGGTGGAATTAAAAAAGCTATTGGAAGTATTGTATAATAGCTTGGCTCATTTACAAATTTAAATTATGACACTTAAAATTAAAGTTATTATTATTATTAAAAATTAGGTGCATTTGCATGCATAACATTCAAAATTTAATGATCTACAAAACTAACATCATTATATATTTGTTTTAAAATTCCAACTATAGCTGCCGGAAATCTTTCACTTAAAATCGGAGGTCAATCCGCCAGTTACTGTGTCGAATATATGATAAACCGGTGGGATTTTTGATGGCTTAGTAACCGTCGGAAATTCCAACGTTCAATCCGTCAGTACAACTGTCAGCTATTACCGACGATCAATCTGCCGGCTTAACAGCCGGAAATGCTGCTTGTATTTCATGAATTTTCTGTAGTGAACTCCCATCTTTCAATTTTTTTTTGTCAAATTTACAATGATTACAAATACAACATTTCAAATATTTTATTTTTATAAATTAAAATAATCTATATAATCATGTGCATAATTAAATATGCCTGAAAACTATTGCCTAATGAACCTTTATTCCATTTACTCATAAATTTGAGAGCTATTCAGTTCACTTCCACTCATACCATGCAGCCATTAACTATAAACTCCTCATCAGCAAAACCAACTAAAAAAATCAAAGAAAACAGAAGAAAATATGCACTATTAACCATTTTTCCACTTAAGAAAATATGCACTATTAACCATTTTTCCACTTAGAAGCTCAACACCATTAATCCTTCCATCTGAAATCAAACCAGATATATAAACTTCTGTAACTAAAATGTATAATCGCTACAAACAAAGTAAGCCAAACACTGATCTCTGCCATTAACCATCATAAAATGTAGCATTTGTCAATCAACACAAAACTAATAGAAAATTATACATATAATTTTCTATTAATTACGTGCTAAAACCATAGTTCCTGAAAACAAGACTTGTAAGAGATCATGAGCAAGAGAAGAACAAGAAGAAAGCCAACACCCCATGGCGATCCGCCGGCTCGATGGAGGGCCTCCCTCTCCTCAGGCAACACCGAGAAGAAGGGGACCGTTCGCCGCCCTTTGGAGCCACTCGATAGCCATTGAACAACGATTAGAAGCACGAGCGGCGATGCGATAAGCAATAGCTTTATTTGATCCATTATGCTCTCTAATATCGACTCATAGCTAAGATACCATGACAAGCTTATGAAGAGAAGTAGTGTGAGGAGGAAGAAGAAAAGGTGGAGAGGAATAGGAGGGGATTGTGAGTAGGAAGAGCCCATGTTTTGATAGTAGTAGCTTTGGCTCATCATCTCTCTCTCTCTGTCTCTCTCTGATCTCTCTCTGTTTCTTCTGTTGAGGCTTATGGGATCTTTGTGCAAGGTGAGAAGAAAGGAGAGAGGAGGGGCTTTTATGGAGGCTTGTTAGGTGATTAAGTGCTCAATGATGGTTTATAATTCTTATATTTTAATATCTTATAAGATTTTAATTAAATATTTATTCTTTGGAGGGTGCAAAAGCTAAAGTAGGGCATGGTTAAATACAAAAGCCTAAGTGAGTATTTGTAATCATAGTAAATATTACATAATAAGTGAATTTTAAATCAATTTTGCATTTATGGATGCCTTGGTTTAGCTTGGAAGCCCTTCTGAGGGCATAAATGCAATTAAAATATTTTAAAAGTGTTAAAAATAGAATATATTGATTTCATAAAAAAAAAAATTGACATTAATTCGAATTGTTATATCATGTTAAGGGAAAATTTTTGAATTAAAATATCCTCATTAAAATTTAATTAGGAAGAGTATTATAGTCATAAATTTTATTTTAAATATAATATTTTTAATTTACTAATTATAAATTATATTTATTTATAAATAAATTTAATGATTATAAATCAACTTAATTATACTTAAATAAGAATGAATTATCTAATTCATATTTTCTTTTAAATTATAATTTTATAATGATGGGCTCATTCTATGAAATTTTTTTTAAAAGTTCAATTTTTCTCCCTTAATTTTGACTGTCATTAATAACCATAGTTATTGCTCTTGATTGCAGAATTTCAAGACTGCAAATTAAATTAAAAAAACTGAAAATTGTAAGGTAAACTTTGTCAGGAAATCCAAGGCCACTGCAATATATATTATTAATAGTACTTTGTGGTGAGGATGGGATGAAATTATATTAAAAAATTGTTTTTAAAATTTATTTTGTAAATTTTTAAAAATATAGATGGTAAAATTGTTAAATTTTATATCAAGAATTTGTTAGAGATGGTGTACATTCAATAATAAATAATTATTAAATTGTTGCAGAAAAAAAATAAAATTGGCAATGAATATTATAAATAATATTCTTCTTTTAAAAAAAATAACAGCAGTTTTTCTAAAAAATCAGTACATTAATAATTTGATTAAAAAATATTATAAAAAAAGTAAGAAAATATATTAATCAAATGAAACTATAGTTATAGTCTAAAAAATAAAATAATAAAAAAAATACATTAAACAAATCCTAACAGATACTTTAACGACATAAAGTTGGTACACAAAAATTTGTTATATTATAAAAAATTTTATGTTAATATATTAATACCAAAATTTTATAATTATTCGAAAGTCGTTATTTAAATATCAATATAATTAAAGTATGATGAGATTATTGTAACTTTTTATAATGTATTATATAAATAATGGAGCATGAAAGTACATTTTTAAAAAATTATGTAAAAGTAATTTTTAAACATAAAAAATTATGAAAGAATAAAAAAATAATAATCAAATAATGATTGACCTTAAAAGAAGGAAAGAAATTATTTTGCGGAACCAGATGGAAAGAAGCCTCCAAATATAGAGTGCACACTAATATACAAATTTATAACACAGTGTGTATTAAACTTTCATGTACACTCACAGTCCAGACGAGAAGACAGTTCTTCCCATTCGGATTCCCTACAGAATAATTTCTCGCTAAAAAAGGAGGAGCAGTAAGAAAGCTTTCTCAAATAAACTTCTGATTTAAAAATAAAATTAATCAAAATTAACCCAAAAGATCCTTAATTAGCTTTGCTTAGGGAGTGACTTTGGGATTCCTTCGAGCAAAAGAGTCCAAATAGTTGCGAAAGGAAGAGGATAAGGGATAGAGTTATGGAATGCCCAAAGCAGCTGACGCGTGCACCGACCATGATAATGGGAGATGAATCATAAGAAGTATATTACATGTAAGACGTTCGACTTAGGTGGGAATCACTCGCTACATTGTACCTTTCAGCTTGTTATTATTATTATATATTTGAAATGTATTACTTTGATCTATAAAAATTATATTATTATTTAAAATTACTGATAATTCGAGCCTTTTTCAGATCTCACCATCACTATCATGCGCCGAAAGTGGTAGAACGATTGAAAGTGCAATGAAATGGGGCAGCAACTAGGTGTGTAATATTTAATTTTTTTATATTTATAAAAGTAATAGATAATTATTTTATTTTTAATAAAATAACACAAATCCTAAAGAAATGATTAAATTCTTATAAGAATTTTTTTTTATTCTCAATTAGATGATTTTGATATATACAAACACGTGATGTAATAATTTAATAGTTGTCAATTGTCATCTCAGGATTATATTTAGGATGTTACCATCCTCTACCGTATAACATTAATGCCAACAAGATAATCGCCCATTGTCACCAGTAATGTCGATGTCAGTTGTCGGCAATAAAGCCATAGCCAACACACTGTTGATCCCAATGTTTGCCAATGCTAATAAGTTATTGCATCTCATTGCCAACAATGTTAATACTTTTTAGACTAATTATAACAGTCCAATCTCTTAATCATCGATGATTGCCCACTTTGACCTAATAGCCTCATAAATTTGTCCAATTGGTGCAACTTACCAGGATGTCACCTATCTTAGAATTGATCATGCACGAGCGCACTTAATCTTGAAATTTCTTAATGAAATCTCAACCATTAAATCGAAAGGTAACTTGATATTTAAGAATTTAACTTTATTTTTTTAACTTAAGGATTTTAACAATCCCTAATATTTATGCAACTGATGTCATATTTATTATCCTCATCTCATAATCATAATCATCCACCAGGCAGATTAGATTCTAGAGGTGAGCCCTATAAGTTCAAGTGGTGGCTTCCATCATGTAGTATTTTGTACAATAAAGATTTCAAGAGCGGCTCCAATGTCATAGCACTTTGTCTTATATGACCCTTAGTATCCATCTTTTTCCAGATGATGTATTTCTCTAATATGGTTTTGTAACAATTCAAACTCTTAACTATAGAGGTATTGTCTACTTTTGCCAAATGACCACACGATTTTGTCCTATTCGTGTACCTTCCTATGAGGTCACTTATCTCAGGATTGCTACCGCACAAGCATGCTAACTTGGAGTTTCTTAAAGAAATATTAGTCACTATATCAAAAGAGGTCTCGGTGTTTAGTAGTTTATCTTCTTTTTTATTTAAGATCTCTCATACTAATAAAGTTGCCACTCAACGTCAACACTAATGTTGACGCACATCAACACAAATAAGATTGTCTCCCCTTGTCGCAAGTTAACATTGATGCCTATATATTAAGATTAATGCATGTCATTGACATCAACTCCAACGTCTACTAACTCTTACTGATGGCAACAAGGTCATTTCTCATTGCCACTAACAATGATGAAGCCCATAATCATTAATAAAACTTGATGCATGTCGTTAACATCAACATCAATCCTAGCTCCCACCATCAACAAAAAGATCCTCAACCAATATATATTGAGGATGGCTCCAATGTCATAACACGTGCTAAAAATTTTTAGTTCGTAGAGTATATATTTCACATCTTAGCAGTGTACAAAGATTTAACACGAACATATAAACATAGTAGGATTAGAAAATTTTTTACTTGAAAAATCCAGAAAGGGAAAAAATCATGGAGCCTAGCTCAGTTGCAAAATCCACTATGTAGTAAGTGATACAAATATCTTCCCTTCTTCGCTATTGAAGAAGAGGAAGAGTACAAAAATCAAATATTTACACCCAATAACATGGCTTAATCTTCCAAGGAGAAATTTTAGAAAGTAAGTGTCCATAGACGGACAAATGCATCCAACAATATGGTCAAATATTGATAATATTTGAAGATGATGATGGTTGTCAGTGGTATTAATTGGTGATTGTTGGTGGTAATAGCTCGTTTGAAAAATGCTCGAGAGCTTTTCCTTCTTCTCTCCTTTCGTCTCTCTTTTGACAATTTTCATGTGGAAAATGAGGAACTATTTACATGTATTTGAGAGTGGAATAATCCGTAAATATGGAGAAAATTTATGATAAATTATGAGTGCTTCAACCAACAGACCATATTGATTCATTTGATCATAGACCTTTTCTTAAGCATTTAAGTACCTTAATGATGTCAAAATTGAGTGATATTGAGCTTTTGGATTCGTCTCATTGAGCCACTTGATTCGACTATAAGCATGTCACACTTGAATATTAATTTGTCATTAAATTAATGCTTTTAAGCTTTCAAATAAGCTTCAGTCCTTTGAAACAAGCCTATTTAAACTCAGATTGAACCGATTTTGATGTCATAGGGTTTGCCTTGTTGAAATAGTTTGACTATAAATTTGTTGAGATCAGTGTTTGGATGGTCGCAAATTGAATTTTAACAGTTTTTAATTCAAACAATGTAATTTTTGGTGAAGTATCAATATATGTTAATACAATTTTGTAACAAATTCACTACAAATATTTGTTTGTTACAAATTCTATTATTCTAACAAGGGGTGTCAATTCGGGTAGGCGGATACGGTTCGGGTCGAACCCGAGTTGACCCAGTTCTAAACGGGTCAACCCGAACCCGACCCATTTTTGTAAACGGGTTAGCTATCTCTATCCGGACCCGACCCGGTTATTTAAAATGGAAGCGGTAGCCGGCAGCGGCAGCATTCTCGGCGGCCGGCGACAACATGCGCGCAGCGGCGTACCAGGCGGCATCGCGGCCAGCGACCAGTCGGCACTCGGCATGCGTCGCGACTCGCGACTGAACGTCTGAACCCGAACAGCCTAACCCCAATTGGGCGAGGGGCGTGGGGCGTTGGCATGCGAGCAGCGAAGCCGAAGCGGGCTCTGCACCTCTACCGCGCTGAGCAACCGGGCAGTCGACGCGAGTGCAATCCGGCAGCTAGGTAGGGACGCGACTTGACGCGTCGGGCAACCGGGCAGTCGACGCGGGCAGCCGGGCAGAGATCATTTCCGGGTCGATTTTGGGTCTTTTTCGGGTTCCCGGGTCAACCCGAACCCGACCCAATTTTTAAAACGGGTCAGTTTACTGAACCGGAACCCGACCCGTTTCATAAATGGG